ATGTTACCTTGGCGATCCGCCTGAAGGGTTTATACTTCTGTGTGTCTCTGATGAACTTCTTTGGATGATCCAGAAGCAAAATCTGAAAACATTTTCTAAAGTTAAGCAACCATTTAAGGCTGATTTTTAAGTGTTTGTTGTTGTTTTAGGCGCCTTACAAAAGTATTTACACCGCCTGAACCTTTTCACATTTTGTCACATTACAACAGAAAACTTGAGATGTTAAACTAAAGTCGGCGAAAAGCCGTAGCTGTAACTTTAAGATACCAACATGCAGAATTCCTTCATAAACTGGGATTTATGGAAGAGGAGGGAGGAGAAAGTCATGAACCACGTAGGAAACGCAGGAGGCGATCTGGTCAGGTGTTTTTGTTCAACATGTAAATCAGTGTTAGACACAGTCGATAAGAAAATGGATGGAGTTGATTAAAAATGATAGAAAAGTTGCTCTTTTATCTACATTCGTCAGGGAAACAGAAAATATGAAAGTCAAACAATTTGAAATTTTGAGATTAAAATCACAAATTTTTAGATTTTTTTTTTTTTTTTGGAAAACCTTTGACTTTTGAAACTCAGAAATTTCCAAGTTTTTTTTAGAAAATTTCCCAGATTAATACGAAAATTTCTGATTTTTTTCCCAAGCAAATTTCCAACTTTTCAAACTCAGAAACTTCCAGATTTTTTTCTAGAAAATTTCTGAGATCATTCTCAAAATTTCTGAGTTTTTTGGGAGGAAATTTCCTGTAACTTCATTTTGCCAGCCAGCGTACCTTTAAGTCGTTGTGGATGGCATGTCCAACCACTATCCTCCCCTTCAAGATGTCGGCGACCTCCCTCTGCACCGTCTGGACATCCTCTCCTGCAGGGAGCCAATCAGAGACATTAAATCCAGTCATGTGACCAGGAGCTCATGCAGATGCAGCGGTTTGTCCGCCGGCTCACCATCCTTGATGTCCTCCGGTCGGATGCCGCTGACGGCTGTCCTGTAGTCCGTCACCTTCTCTGTGGGTTTCACATATTTGTCATAGATGCATTTCCCAAACTTGTTGACCAGGGACACTCGGGCCAGGATGCTCTCTTCGCCATCAGGACCGACTCCCACCATCTCACAGTCGATGGCAACAGTTTGGGTTATTCTGGCAACAGAGAAAAGCAACCAGGGTCAGGAGAGGGAATCCAGAGGCATTAATCATCAGCTGCAGATGTTATTTGACGACCATGATGAAGAGCAGACAGACAAACCATCACTGGGGTGAAGTGACTAGCCGAAAGGTTAGCTGCACTAACATTAAGGCGCTAATCATAAACATTAGTTTATTTAGTGGAGGCTAATGCTAAAGAGCATCAGTTTATTATAAGTTACATGATATGTCAAAATGTTGACATTAAAACATTCTTCTATGATGCCCTTACATATTATTTTGAAATAAAAAAGAAACTGCTGCGTAAACAGTTCCTCCCCCCCTTCAAAATAAGAGCATGGATATAAAAGTCTGATAAACTGAAGGAATATTAACAGTCGATAACCAAAACTTCACCAGATATTAAAGTTTATCCAACTGGATGTTTACAAAACAGTTACATAAACTGGATCTTTCGAATTTATCCAGTAAAATGAATATAGAGGAAGCTAGGGGTGCTAAACATTTTCAAAGTTAGCAAAAAGAGCTAATGCGCTAAACACAAAATGAGCTTTGAGTCCCTCCTAGTCGCCTTATTGCAGGACCTGCTGGTTTTCTGCCATGTGAAGCAGGAGAGGCTTTCAGACAGATTAGTCATGATTCAGTGGGAAGATTCAAGAACTGAAGAACAGAAAACAATGTTTGGAAAAAGTGAATAGAAATGACAGTTAAAACACGTTGTAGTGCTTTAAATGGCTTAATGGGACTGATTTATTTATTATTAAGAAGAAATTACTAGTTTGTTAATATTAAAATATGTATTGAAATATTTTTCTTCACTGGTCATAATGAAATGGTTACAATCCAAAAATCCTCCAAAAATAATGTGGTAATTTTTTTTCATTATTTTAGAAAATGTTTATTTAACCTGGATTCTAACCACCTGGTTTGTCACGTCCTGTTTGCTATAAATATCACCGTCAGCCTTGCAAAACACACAGTACTTAAAAAAAACATGCAAAACTTTCATATAAAATATGATAATATTAATTTGCCTCAAAGCATTTTGCAAATTGGGTTCATTTCTTCAGTTCAGTTTTCTTTGTTTCTTTTAGTTGTTTCTTTTATTTTTTGTATCATTGAAAAAACTATTCAATGTTTTATGCTTTCATATTGATCTGCAAAACCTACACTTTATGCCACATTTGCTTGCTACGCAAATATTTAAACATTTTTTAATCCTTCATCTTCATTAAGCTCCTATTCATAGATCTGCCAGCAGAGGGCGCAGTGCGACCAGCTGAAGCAATTATCTCTGAATTGTGATGCTGCCTTAATCCTGCATCCCTAAACAAACAAAAATACTGAACATAAAATTAACAGACATGTCTTTAAATTATTTATTTACCGCTAAGGTTATAGTTTATGTTTAATTAAATTACAGCAAAACACCAGCAACTTTTAGGCTCTTTATTTTATAATATAAAACTACTACTATTAGTAGTAATAACTTCTTACAATACACAAATTCACATATGAACCTTAAGCAAAGAGTGACAATATGAATAAAGAGATTAATTTTGTGAATCTCCATCTCAGTTTCCCATTGATCCGTTTTTGATGGTCTGTTTTTGCATTAATTCACACTAATGTTGAACAGCATCATGATCTGGTTTTTCTAACAGGAATGTTTTCACTCACCCGCTGAAGGCTGACTCCTTCACCAGGGAAGTCTCCGGCTCTTTGCTTCGGATGCCTTGTTTCCTCCTCATGATCTCTGCTGCCTCTGCTCCCATCGTCTCCTCGATCACATCGGGGTCGACGTCGTCGAACCAAAGGTCGTCCCTAAAACAGGAGCTCAGGAGTCAGAGCGCTGCAGTCTGACTTGGACTGGACTGTTTGGAGCGTGTTGAGAACCGTCGACATAACAAACATAACCTGATCAAGAAAATTAGACGTTTTATGCGACTTAAAATTCACTCTAAAAAATCTGTGGTTCAGAAAGTTGATCTCAGCTTAGAATATAATTCTGATTAAAAAAAAAACCTATTTAGTTTTAAAATGATGTGTAAAAGCTTTAAAATAAATTAATATTTTAGTGGAGTAGTCTAATCAGGCTGAAAAAACGTAGAACTAATCTAAAGTAGAACAACTATTGCTGTGAACACAGAGTCACATAAAGACAGTTACAAAGTCGGCATTCAATCATCTGAAGAACATTTCCAGGATTAATGTACCAGCAAAATATAAAAAAACTCATCCATGTGTTTATTTTTTTAGCTGAATTAATTCACAGGTTTGTCTAATAAAGTCAAAAATCTGCTGCCTAAAGAAATGCTCACCGGTGTCACGTCATATTCATACCCCCCAGAAACAGAAAACTACAGATTACTATTAGGGACTACAGATGAAAACTAGCCCGTTTGCTAACTGTAGCTCGTTATGTGATGTGGATTATTCCCCTTTAAAATAAACAATAACAAAAAACCAAATATCTGAAAGTTCTGTAAAACTTTAGCAATTTAGAAATTGAAAAAAAATAAATTTATTTCAACACAACCTACAAATGTGCAATTTATAATTTAGTTAAAATTAAGACTGTTTAAACTGCTATGAGCATTTCCCCATGAAAGCTGAAGCTAAAGGTTGAATTTTAAATTCAAAAACTGTTCAGGAATATTCTACTGCAAAAACACATTAGTTTATTTCAGTGCGGTTTACTCATCTTTACCAGGAGAGTAAAAACTTTATCTGTCACTGTGTTACTTCCAAAGTAACACATCTTATGTTTTGAATTTTTTCCAATTATCTTAACAAAAATGTTTAAGTTATGAAACACAAACGACTCTTCAGCTTCATCATTTGTGTAATTCTAGATGATGTTTTGATTCTTGTCCCAGTGGAACCAGTTCTTCTAAGTTCACTAAATCCGAACCCAAATATAAACATGCCGTTTTTACAGTATACATACTCTGTCGGTTTCCTCTCCTCAACCAGTGAGATCTTCTTCTTCTTCTTCTTCTTTGGTCCCTCTTCCTCACTGTTTGGCATGTTTTTGTCTTTTTTCCTTTTTGGAGCAGCAGATTGCTGGGAGTCTGAAGCTGCAGGGAGCTTCAGCTTCTCTCCAGCCTCTTTAGGGTCAACAGGAACCGTTTTCTGCTTTTCCTTTTTCCCAGAGTCCCTTTCGCTTGGAGCGGCAGTGTTCACAGAACTCCTCTGAAAAGCATTTTCTTGGTGTTTCTTTGTGGTGAAGCCATTCTGATGCTTTTTCTCTGGCTGGCTACTCTTCAGGATCTGTAGGGAAGTTTGGGAAAGATCAGTGAAATCTCCAGTGAACACTTCTGTTTAAATACATCTACACTGCAGAGACCAACCTGCTGTAATGATTTCCAGTTGGCAGAGATCTGCTCGGCTTCCCGTGGAGGTCCAGGTTTCTCCTGCTGCTTCTGTGGAGCTGCTTGCTTCTCCAGCTTCTTCTTCTTCAGGTTCTGTTTGATCCAAAACGTCTTCCTCTTGTCTTTAGCTGTATGTTTATGGATTTTAGCGTCAGAATGCGCTTTCTTCTCCTTCTCCTTCTCCTTCTCCTTCGCCTTGGACATCGTGATTTAAAACGTACCGGATGACGACGTCCGATCGAGAATAATTTACGTAAGTGAATTTACAGTAAACGGAACAGTAACTCAAAAAAGTCTTCAAATACGGTCTTTAAAGGCTCATAATTGTGCTCACCCGTGGGATTTTCGAAGCCATGCTGCATTGTATCTCTCTATAGTGTGCAACAGCAAAATGTTTCCGACGAAGCAACACTTTCCGATTTTACACTACCAACTAAGTGGCTAAATTACTTTAGTTTTTTTATATATAATTGAAAGCAAATAAGTATCTGTTAATAAAGTTACATTTTCAACTTAGTCGGTCACGTTTTTCCTTATATTCGGCGTTACTCCAAAGGAGGAACTTTTGTTCTGAACAATGTTTCGCATCGACCTGATATATAGTACGGTAAAAACGTCACTGACGCAAAGGAGGTTGTCGGAAGTCTTCGTGGTGGATTTTGTCATAAACTGTAGGTTTTGTTTGCATGTTAGTTAGAATTGTTCTCGTTAAATTTATTTATGACATCTCGACTATTATTTAGGTCAGGTAATTTGGCCAAATTGCTTTTTTCGGAAGTATTTCGTACAGAAATATGAGTGTTTGTCGTATAGTTGTTGATAAAGGAAGTAAACACTAGTTTGGTTTTATAAGAGTTTTTTTTTTTCCCCTCTCTCTTATTTGACTTCTTTATTCTTGTGCTTCTGTTTTGGTTTCAGATCATGGTGGAAAACTCTCCGTCTCCCCTGCCTGAGAGAGCCATTTATGGCTTTGTGCTCTTCCTGGGTTCACAGTTTGGCTTCTGTAAGGGTTTTCTTAATAACCACGATGCCAGCCTGTGGAGAAGTGGTGGGAAGTGAAAACCACTGCATATGATTATATTCATTCTATATTATATGTATTTATTGCACATTTTGAGATGATTATATTGGTTATAATTATATAAACTTAATAAACCTTTAGCCTCTGATGGTAAACCGGTGATACCAGAATTAAGTGAAACCTGTTGGACTTTTTTATTTTCATACCAATTCAAGTTAAAGAAATTTATATTTTTTGTTAAATCTAGTTGTGTTCCTTTGTTCTTTTCTGAAGAGAAATCCTAATTCATGGCACTAATAAGGCTGAATACTTCAGTAAATATGTGTGATTATTACAAGGAGAGTCATCTTTGTAACAGTGCTGTCTCCTCTGTAGTTTTGTACTGCCTGTGGGCGTATGTACCAGAGGAATGGCTTCATTCAGTAGGACTCACCTACTGGCCTCAGAAGTAAGTTACCTCCTTATAATAATAAATTATATCTCCAGCTGTCTTTGTTTATGAAATGCTTTGTGTTGTTTAGGTATTGGGCTCTTGCGATGCCAATCTACCTCCTGGTTGCCCTAATGGTGTCTTTGGTTGTGTTGTTCGGCATTAACATGAACAACACGGCTCCGCTGGACTCTGTGGACAACGTCACAGGTGAGACTCCTACTGAACTGCAGGGAATAAAGCTATACATATTTTATTTAGGGGAAAAATAATCATTTCAAAGCTTGAGAGCTCTTCAGGCACAACATGTTCTCGTCCAGATATTGCTAAACTTCATATTTCTGTCACAGATGTATTTGCACAAGGTCAGAGGTCAGACTGCTACAGGAAGGGCGGAATACCCCGACTGGAGGACGTCTCCATCAGTGAAGTCAACAAAATGTTCTATTTATCCTCTGAGACGTGACAAACAGAGTAACTGAGCAGTGGGCGGGTTAACATTCACTGGCCGTCACTGTTTAGTTCATTTGATTGTAGTTTTCTTGTTAGAAAAAACTCAGTCTTGTATAACAACCGTGATATAATTGTTAATATAAAGAAATACCCAGATTTTTATTTATTTTTCTTTCTTTACGGGTCAATGTGTCTCTTAAATGCAAAGTTTTGTGCAGCAAATAATGTTTTTATAAAGCTCTAAGTAAAGTATGGCTGTAAATCTGTAATAAATATAATTATTTTAAAGCAATTCTAACATGGAAATGCATCAATTCATGTTGGAGATGTTAACAAGGCAACAAGCAAATAATACTTTTGTAAATGATTAATTTGTTAAATTGATGACGTAAATCATAATGGAAGCATCAATGGTAATGCATATTATATTGAAAACCTACATAAATGTTACATTTGTCTTAAAACAATAAAGGACAATAACTGTTGTGTTTGTGCAGAAGGAAGAAAGATCATCCTCAGTTTATGTCAAATTTTATTTATTTTGTAACAACTGATTTATGAGTCACTGAAAGTCTCCATTGTTGTATGTTGCAGTCTTTTATATATTTTATTGATATTAATATCTGGATTTTGATTAAATGTTAATACCAGTTTAAAGGTTCAGAAGAAAATCTTTAAACACAGGATCAAATATTTCTTAAATAGTTTTTTTTTTTGGGGGGGGGGGGGGAATGAGCTGGGTTTTGTTTTATTGAATATTCTTGCTTTTATGGAGTTAAATTCTGTGCAAAATTATCCACAACCTCTGAACCTGCTGGAAAGATTTTATTTTTTTAATCAACTTTTATTTATACAGATTGTCTCATTGAGATTTAAGATCTTATTTACTAGAAAGTGTAAAAAGCCTAAAAATGGATCTTTATTGCAGTGGTTCTATTATATGATGTTCACTTTATTTTTCACCTATTGCAATGATTTGATGGTGAAATAGAGACTGTACTGACTGCTGCAGCAGCCAGTCCATGTGTGACCTGCTCAGCATGCTGTGCTTGCTGGTGTTTGTGTTTAAATGTACATTTTGGATTTTCACATTATGATTTCTATTACTGTAGTTTATTTTAAAGTATTGTAAAAATCAACTCTAAAATTAGATGATTCAGGTATCCTAAAAAAATAAATACATAGAAACGTGTTATGAGCTTCATTATTAACAAATCATGTCAAAACATGCTAGCTTATGTTTAGTAAACTGTTAGTGTAAAAGCATCGCTAGCAAGAGGCAGATTAGTTTATTAAAGAAGTTTAGATAAAGTTATGATAAACTATTCGGTGATGGGTTGTAACATAATGAGAGTTTTCTTAGCTGTGTTGGAGTTGTTAGGTCAAACTGTCTGCCGATGTTAATGTAGACCATAAAGCATAAATTTTACTGTACTTTATTTTATGTCGGTGATTTGAGTTGATTATCTTATCGATATTTTGGCCAAAGGAAAAAAATAAATAAAATAAAAAAGTATATATATAAATGACCACTAGAGGGCCCTAAAGTGTCATTGTTGGAGATTCTAATTACTTAAATTATTAGAGGAAGAATCTTTTGTTTAGCTTTGAGCGCAGCAGCTGTTGTTTAGCGTAGCTTGTGTTACTTTGTTGCTTAGTTTGTTAGACCCGCAGCCAGTCGCGGTGTTTTGGCTGCATTTTGAACCACATGGCCTTCCCGGCGCCGGTGTGGCTCGCTGTCCAGGAGGAGCTGCTGGAAAGCGGCGAGCCAGAGGAGGACTGCGGCTCCCAGAGCTGTTTCGACGACTTTAACGACCAGGCTCTGTTTGAGACCTTCCACCTCTCCAGACCCTGCATAGCCTTCATCACAGACGCCGTCCGCATGCGCGTTAAGTCGGCCGCCTTCAAGAAGAGCCAGCCGCCGGTGGACGTGATGCTCATGACCGCGCTGAGCTACTACGCCCATGGCGTGTTTACCTCTTCCGTGCAGGCGAAGGCAGGGATCAACCAACCGGCCGCCCTGGTCAATGCGGTCAGCATAATCTCCGGGGTTATCGCGGGAATGTCGGACGTGTTCATCTCCTTCCCTCTGACCGCCGAAGCCAGAGCCAGAACCGCGTCCAGGATGGAGGAGCTCTGCGGGATCCCCGGCGTCCTGGGCGTCCTGGCCCCGGCGCACTTCAAGATCAGAGCCTCCCCCTATGACAAGAAGTCCTTCAAGTCGTTCATCAACACGCTGGGGTACACGTCGGTGGTGAGCCAGTTCATATGCGACTCTGAGGGAAACATCCTGAGCGTGGAGAAGTGCTGCGTGGGCGGCGCGTTTGAGCAGGAGCTGTGGGACTCCTCGTTCAAAGGGAAGGAGGTGGAGGACGACCTGCACGGACCTTTCTGGTTTATTGGTGAGGCATGAAAAAGATGCAAAAACGAAACAGCTGTGGTGGTTTTTGCAGCAATGTCTCGTGCAACCTCCGCTTTTGCCCCCTCAACCACAACATGTGATAAAACACTTCCTTTATTGCTTAACTAATTGTAGCTCAGATACCATCTAACTCTTGTGCATGTATGCATGAAACCAGCCGGAACCTGGTCAGATAAATAGGTTATTTTGTTAAAAACAATTGTTGTGCACCTCTTTTCCAAAGCTGCCCTGGGCAGAAACCAGAGTCCCATTAACTCCAAGGACTTTGGTTCAAATCCCAGTGTGGGGTTGATTAAAAATAACTGCAGTTATATGTTCCACTAATATTTTTTTTTACATTAATCTGAACCATAATATGAGTTTAAAACACCCAATTCCTTTAAACTACTATTATTGTTCATGGTAATCCTATAAAGCAATTTATCTGTTACGTTTTATCAGAGCTGTTCATCAGCTGGCAAATGACAAAACTGTTGCTGTAGTCACAATAAAGCCCAGCCCTTTAGTCACCAATGTATGAAAGAGGATTAGAGCCAAAACAGAAAATTCAGATTTTTTTTTCCTTCTCAGAACTCTTTAAAGAAGTCGGGGTGAATTTTCTTAGATGTGAATTCTTAGAAAGACTAGCAGCTGTTGGCAGTACACCAATAAATCAGCAGAGGACCCACAGATAATACTGAAGAGTAGCACTACTTCAACATATTTCTACTCAAGTAAAAGTACAAAGCAGCCATAGAAGAAATTAAATTCCCAAATTAAAGTATTTGGTAAAAAGTTTACTCAAGTAATTGGTTTACTGATCCTGATGATCAATAAACCAATTTCTTTTCTAGCAACAGCAGCTGCTGCTTTTTGTCCCAAATCCTGTTGAATCAGCAAGAATCCATTAGTTTTTCCTTCTACATCAAGTCCTTAGATTAAAAAGCTTTATTAAAAGATAGGAGATTTAATTAGGCCAAATCATTTAAACACATGACAAATTAAAACAAATTCATTGTAATGATTTATCATTTATCAGTTTTTTTTTTCTCTTTTTCTACCAAAAACTGGATGATAAAAGTCTTCAGTTTGGTGTTTTGGTCTCAACCGGCTCTTATTTTGAAGGACAATTTTGTTAAAGACTTCAAAATTCATTTTCTGTGTTTTATTTATTTTGATATTTGAAATGTCTTCCAGTTCCAGCAATAAATGTTCATTAGAATTTATAGTTTACTGATCTTTTAGAATGCATTCTTGGATTATTTTACCATTACCGTTATATTACTTAAAATGGTCTCAAAACAATATTATCGTTTATCGCAATAACTTCTGGAACAATTTATCGTCCAGCAAAATTTGCCATCATGACAGGCCTATATGTGACATTTCTATGCTTCGTTTTTGTCTAACTCAACTAATTTTCTCTGGTTTCCTGTGAAGGAGGGAAAGGCTACCGGTTGAGCAAACACGTCCTGACCCCCGTGTCCAACCCGGTGTTGGACCGCGAGGTCCGCTTCAACGAGGCGCACGCCAAGGTGCACCGCGTCATGCAGGGCATGCTCAGCGCCATGAAGAGGCGCTTCAGGTGTCTGCAGCAGCTCGGCTTTGCAGAAGAAGCCTCTCTGAACAAAAAGTCCAACATCATCAAGTCATGCAGCGTTCTGCACAATATCGCCAAAAAGTTTTCCGTCCCTCTGCCTCCACGGGCCGGGATGGGTGAACCGTCGTACCCGGGCAAGCCGTATACGTCTCCGATGGAGATCAACCTGGAGGCACTAAAAGCCCGACAGGAACTCATTGATAGGAACTTCTCTGCCTCCGTCGGCAGCCGGGACTCACCGTGAAGCAAAGAGGATCTGTGAAATTCATTCTGTTACCTTTGATGCAATTAAAGAAGAAAACATTGAAAGTTTTTTTCTTCCAGTCAGGAAACTTTGGGTTGTTTTGAATATATAATGTTTTATTTCTATGTACAGATTACATTTTTCTACTTGAATAATTTTATAATTCTAATAAAATTTATAACATTCTCTGGTCATTTGAAAGACATTTATTAATAACAACAATAATAATAATAATAATATAAGGCAGCATAATGGCAGAACCGGCAGATGTAAACTACAAAAGCATTTCTATACAGTATGAACACCATGTATAGGTGTGCTTTATATAATGACACTGTTGGCTCGTCATTATGTGCATCAAGTCTTAGTGCTGGGCTGAACCGGCGCCGTCGGGTCAGCGGAGCTGTCGGAGCGCCGTGGCGTTGACGTACATAAGGTCGCCGTTCTCGTAAACGTTCTCCTCCTGGACGCCGGGCGGCTGCAGGCTGTCCATGATGCACTGGTGCAGGAACACGTACTGGGACTGACGAGGGACATTTAGAAAAAATATTTTTAATAGAAAAGTTCGATAACGATTTCCTTTTCGAGTAAAATTCAAGCTGACATCGGCAATTCCAATATAATACCAATACTTTGTGCAAAAACACCTGATGTGTCTGATAAATCTAAAAAAAGTGAAATAATTAAACTCTTCACTGCAAAAGAACACAAAACATTATTTTGTTACGTTGGGGTAGCAGCAGATTTACTGTTTTCCCTTCAGGCTGATTCATTGTAGGCTTAGAATTTCTCCTGCCTCTGAAAAGATGATCTTATTTAGGAAAGATCTCAATAATTGAGTTACTTTCTGCTTTTGTTAAGAATTATTGACGGATGTACTGGAATTTGTTTTACTTGCAAATTTACAGAAACCTTAACAGCCAAATAATCATGCGGTCAATAAATCTATAAATAAACACCAAAAGCAGCTTTGTTACATTTTATGGGTGTTTGACGTGGAGATACGCCTCAGTAATAAACCTGCAGAGTGTTAGTTTTACCTCCGTCTGCACCATGTGAGATCGATGCTGCCTCATCTTGTAGACGAAGCTGTTGATGCCGACGGCCCGCTCCTGCTGCAGCTGCTGCAGCAGGACGTCCAGGGCGATGATGGTGCCCGTCCGGCCCACCCCGGCACTGATGGGAAAACAACAAATAGAAGCACCAGCACTTTCTGGGTTAAAAGTATGAACATGAGCAACAGGAAACTACATGCAAATACTTCCGTATAACCATATTTTATTATACAGAAACCATTAAAAATATGTTATCTCTTCTATATAGCGTACACTAGACTTTTTGTGTGATTACTTCCTCTATTGACCCTTTGCAGTTACGTCACTTAATCATCCGAGGCGCCATGATGGACGCCGGAAGTGAGGGACGGGAGAATTGAACAGAGCGACTGAAACTGTTTTCCAAAGTTGTTTTTGCCAGTTTATTCTTGGCTTTTTCTTGTTCGAGTTCAGATAATTTGTCTGTGAACGTGACTCACCTGGTCGGGGCTCATAAACGGCGGGATTTACAAAGGCTGGAAACAGCTAGCTTAGAAACCGACCCGTACCTCCTCCTCCGGACGCGTTTATCAAATTTACGACCTTACCTGAATTCACACCACATGATTTATATCACTATGTCATAAACAGCGTTTCCCTTTACACCGGAGAAAACTTAAAAGCGTCCAAAAGACGAGATGCTAACCAGTTGTCTTCATACATGCTAGGCTACATGACGGCGCTTCATTGTCTCCATGGTTACTAACGATTAGACCCGCACCTTCTCCATAATAGTTGCCAGACATTATTATTCACGATTCATCGCTGCTGTATCTTTATTCATTAAAAGTTAAATGACAAGTTTGGTTTCTATCCTTGCTGAGCGCCCTGCGACCATTTTTAAAGTGAAATCAACTAAATAGAAGCGATATTAGGTTTCATGTGTCTGTTTTTTTAACTAGCTTTAAAGGAGGCGTTGGTTGTTTTGACGTCCATCATGGCGGAGTTCTGAGGAGCGTGACGTCACGTGTAAAGGGTCAATACTGAAGTTTACTTGACTCAGCTCACTAGAGCCCACCTGTATCAGCAAACAGTTAATAAAATGTGTGTGTTAAAAAAACTGCAAATATCTAAATCTAGATAAAGTCTTTTCTAAATTTGCTCTTTTTGGAACCTCTGCAGTGCGACTCAGAATGTGTTTACTTCCTAGTTCCGTTTTCTGAAAACCACTCAAATTAAAACTGCAACCACTGCAGTTTTCAGGTTGATGTTATTTCTCCTTTATTTGCTCAAAATTTCTGTCTTAAAAACTCAACTTTCATAACTAGAAACTGGAAAGTTGTCAGCATTAATATGTACGAATCAGCCCTGCAGCTAGTTGGTGCCTATTGGATTCTCCTTGTCGTTTTGTTTACCTGCAGTGAACTACGGTTGGGGCTTTGCTCCCTTCGCTCTCTATATGTTTCCTCACAAGTCCTCTGAAACGGATCAGGACTTCTGTGCCCTGAGGTACTCCATGGTCAGGCCAGGCAGTGAAGTGGAAATGCTTCACCGTCCGTTCCTCTGAATCCTTCGCCTGCATAAAATAAGTTATATTTATGCATTTGAGAGGTTATAACGGGTCAATGTTAAACTATAGCCAATAAAAATCCATATTTCCTGTAAGCACTATAAAAAATATCAAAGAAAAAGTAAAAGGTGGGGTTCTGTGGAGAGGTATTGAGCAGTCAGCATCTTACCTGGAGTAAGAAGCAGATTAAACAGTTTGGAGAAACGATAATAAAAACTTGCATTAGTAATGGTTTACTAATTAGAAAAATTTGAAATTGAACAATTTGAAGTTTTCAACCAAAAAACAATCTATAAAATGACTTGGTGGCAAAAATAATACTTTTTTAATTTAAGTGGATAGTTTTGAAGTTTTAAACTGAGTTTTAAGTCAATGATTTGTTGTTGATCTTCTATGTGAAACACATACTCTCTAGACCAGCTAAAACATTGTTTAGCAGTATTTCCTCTTTTTATATCTCTTCATGTTTTACAAAGGAAAATCAATCATTGGTGTTTACATGGAAATACATACAAATGCAATGTGAACCTGTTGAAATTTTAAAGGTTCATAAAAGAGAATATTTATATAAACAGCTGCAATATTTTTGAGACTGGAGTTATTTTAATTTGCATCAGTTGGCTGCTAACTAGCCGTTAACTTCTACCTCTTATGTTAACTTACAACCTTTTAACAGAACCTCACCTCAGAAATTTCAAACTATCCCTTTATGTAAAAGCTGTTTTGTTCATTTTTATTCTGTATTTTTATTAAGTAATTCCTCTGACTGCAAATGTTAACTGTTTATGTGTTTTACATGGAGGGCTATTGCTAGCAGGTAATGGTGCTAACAGTCTTAATTTTAAATAGATCAGACTACTTAAATTACTATTGAAATGCAAAATTAACCTATTAAAATCTGAAGTAGAGGATTTGCATGATGCTTTTAAAACAGATCTGCTTTAGGATTTGAACAAATCCTAAACATGAGCTAGCTGTGCTAACGTTAGTCTGTTTGGGGGAATCTGTTTTTCTCCAGACTGAGATCCAGCAGGTAAGACACTGACTTCATTTTATTTCTCTTTGAAAAGTAAGAAATTTTACTTGCATGTTTCACTTTAAACTCCCTCAGAACCCAGTTGGACTCTCTCTCCTCAGACATTTTGGAGACAATCAGATTTCCATGAGCACAAGGGCTCCTGTCTTCAGGCCAGTATTGTTCACATTTGGTCTACAAGAAGAAAACACACAAAAAATGACAATTATGCTTGTTCTGTTACTGCGTTGGTTTGCTTCATGCTCACATATCAATTTAATCACCAAATACCAAGAGAACCAAAAGATTTGTACACTGTAAAACATTTGAGTTGTGTCTACTGTCTTCTACTCTTTCAGTCAAATACATTTAGTGAGTTTTAGATTTTGAACCTAAATGGGTGAGTTTGTGAAATCAATCAATCAATCAAATTTTATTTGTATAGCACATTTCAGCAGCAAAGCATTTCAAGGTGCTTTACATAATTAAAGAAAAAAAAATAAGAACAGCATGTGACATTGAATAAACAGTAAGAAGTTGTGGTCACTTTTTATTAAGAGTTGAATAAACAGAGTTTTTAGGTTAACACTTTAAAAACTGGAAGAAGAAAAAGTCAGGAGTGGGAACTATTTCCCAGAATGCTTAGCGGCGTGTTTCTGTCTCCTGAGATGGAAGTGTGTTACATTGATCTGTTCACACTAAATGTTTCTGAGCTGAATTCATTCAGATGTTTCATAAAATTCATCATCAGATCAGAAATTTGGTTCATGTGATTTGAAACAAGAATTTAAATTATTCTACAGTAAAATAAGTTGTTATTTTAACTTGATATTGTGAGTAAAATAACAGAGAAATGTGGCTTTTTAACTTGGTGAGGACAGTTTTTTTTTTCTTGCATTTTGTGAAATAATTATTTGGTTTAAATTGCAGCATTAAGTTAAAACTCACAATTTAAGATTAATGGACTTAAAAACAATGTTCAGACAACTTGTCTCTTGTTGTTAAATCAACTTCATGAACTTTAATTTCTGAGTTAAAACCAAAACTATTTTCTTGTTGACTTAAATGTCATTTTCTAGGCAGCAGGTGGACTTTCATTTTCACGTTAAACCACCTTCAAATGTTTTACAGTGCATCTTTTTCTTTCATTTCAGGTTTAAACTTCCCTAAAATCTGTCCGTAGAACATTTTCCAGAAAACATACCCGCCCTGCTTCAACGCAGTTGGTAACCATGACGATTCTCTTCACTTTTTGCTCCCAAACCATCCTCCAGAAATCACTGACCGTGTTGGGCAGAGGACCCTGACAGGCGATGTACTCTTTGCTGCTGCTGTAGCCCTGAAAAAGAAGACGATGTGGACGATCTTTATAAAGCTTTTATACGACCTAAACCCTTCAGGTTTCATGCTGACATCAATATTAACGTCAACATCAACATACACAGAAAACAATTCGCTTAAACTGAATACCACACTTCTCTGTACCCATCAAGCTTATCAAACTTCTGCTTTCTGATTTAAGCACATGGATCATCAGTTTTATGTAAAAATCCTTAGTAACACTTTACTGTAAGCAAGGCATAACATCTAGATAAGATTTATTAATGATTATCAGTAATCTGGTCTTTATTCAAACAAAGAACACAATGATTAAGAGAACTAAAGCTTATAAATAGAGCAGAAGTCATTAGGAAACCAAAGGTCAAACCACACCTGCAGATGCAACACAATGCCCAGGAAAGACTAAAAATGCTATAAACAAATAAAATGTGTATTTTTCAGGGGAAATGACTATATAATAACACAACAGGCATAATAAAATTTTAGTTTGCAGGTGACTGAATTATTTTATGACCACATCTGCAGAGAGACCTTGAGAACAATCCTGCAGCAATGAGGAAGACGACTGCCAAGATGCCGTAAAAAGAATAAAAGGAAGTTACCAGAAAAGCTCTATGATTAACAGTTTACCAAAGTTCAAAGTCTAATATATAAACTCCTACAAACGGTAACTGATGCCTCAGTTTGGACTTTGGAGTTAGTAAGTTTTTGTCTCATCCACCAACATTAAAATATGCTGCTGAAAAAGGAATCAAGATTATTTTATTAAACTGTTCAAAGCTTACAACAGAAAAATGACCTCTTATGATTTGACACCTCACTTATCTTGTTCTGTTTATTCCGTCAACTTCCTCCTTTTAGTTTTTTCTACAGTTTTATGACTTATTATCACGCCACTCTTGGTTTGGTGAAGCTTTTCTCTTCAGTCTTTTGAAGCAACTTTTGTTATTCAAAGCTAAATATCAAATTCAACACCAACAGCAATGACATGAAAGTTTAACCATAGATTAAATGACTTCATTTGTTCCCTTATGTAAATATGTAAACTCTAGCAGGTCGCTGGCCGCCTTGCTCTGCAGACTTTGTACAAAATGATCAGAATGCAAGACAACATAAAATAGAAATAAGATATTACAAAAGTTACCAAAGCCCAACTAATAAATGCTTCAGCTTTATGAAAGCAAATTTAAAATCAAGAACTGTAGCAATAGGATTCACGGTTCAGTTATCAAAGCTGCTTCCTCTTACAAAACTCACTCATAAGATGAACAGAGCTAGTTTTGCACATCTATATATTCTCTCTCAGCTGTCAGTTCTGCTTTGAGGGGATTTTTGTGCATTTTATAAAACAGATTTATTTTTCTGTTTTGCATGATGCAGTGCTCACCCTTGACCTTTTCCACATTTTGTCACATTGCAACGATTAAACTGAATGTTTGTTCAGATTTAAGATGATGGACCAACCCAAAGCAGAGCATAATTCTGAAGTGGAAGAAAAATGACACCAGATCTTTTACATTTCTTTAAAAAGAAACAGATGAAAAGCATTTTATGATCTGTATTCAGTCCCATTTACCTCGATGCCTCTAAATAAAACCCAGAGAAACCAAAGCTATCAGATGGCGCGCATGTGAGAAAGAGCGGTTCTGTTTCCTGCCTCAGAGGTTTTTAACTGAACATTAGTGAACAAACTGCACCATGAAGACAAACACAGCAGACAGGACTACACATAACTCTGGCAGATGTAGATTAAATGGTAAAATATCTGTTTTTATTTGCATCTATTTAAAAATGGCATTAAAAATAATTTATATCCTTCTAAGGATGAAATAATCTTATAATATTCCATAAAGTCAGAAGAAGCATGTTAGATCTAACCTTCTGAAAATAAAAACATGCATTTTCTTCCCTGATTTAACAGAAAACCCTTTATTCAGCCAATATTTTTAATGATTTACTGGATTTAACGTAGCTGCCTACATTCAGACACCAAGGCTTCTGCCCTTCGCTGTAATCTTTAACATCACTGAGTCCAGCTAGATGTTGATCTCTGACTCGGCCTGCCACCATAATAAATTCTGCTGGACGATAAATTGTTCCAGGAGTTATTGCGATAAACGATAATATTGTTGTTTTGAGGCCATTTTTAAGTGATATAGTGGTAATGGCAAAATAATAATGCAAGAGCACATTCTCAAAGAAACTTTAAAGTAAACTTTAAATTCTAATGAACATTTACCACTTGAACTGGAAGACATTTTAAATATCCAAAATAAACAAAACAACAAATAAAATCAATTGTAAAGTCTTTGTAAACAAAATTGTCCTTCAAAATAAGAGCTGACCAAAACACCAAACTGAAAACTTTATCATCCAGTTTTTAGTAGGAAGAGAGAAAAATATATAAAAGTTAAATTATACCAATGGAAATTATTGAGTTTGCTTTAAATTATCATGTGATTAATTGATTTACTGATTATTGTGGACTTATGTCTGAATTATGTTGGAAATTCTGACTCATCTTTTAATGACGAGTCAGAAATAAAAAGTTTTGTGTCATCAGCATGTAGTAAGAGATGTTGTTGTGCTTCATAGTGTTTGCTAGGAGAAGTTTATAGATGCTAAATAAAAGTGTCCCAAGAATGGAGCCCTGAGGAACCCCACATGTGATTCTCATGAGCTCAGATTACAAAACAGTTGCCACGGCAACATGGCTGCAGAGTCATACTTACTGGTAAGTAATTAGCATTTATGTAGTCCAAGATATTGTTTGGAGTTGGTGTATTTAGTTTCACTCGACTCCAATCATCTAGCAGGACAATGAAAACATGATTTAAAAATTAAAAAAAGATAAAATACCACAGAAACACCAACAGGAACACGGTGGACTCACAGGGAAGGATGTTGGTGAAGCGGTTCTTCCCTCTGTTTTCTGGCAGAGTCGCAGCTTTTTGGGTTTGGTTTGTGCCAGCAGGAGAGAGGGACTGAGAGGAAGCAGAGAACGACACACCACGAAATGAAACGAGGGTGAAATGATCAACTTCAGCTTCACAGAACGACAGAAACTTTATCTGGAAACGTAACGGAGAAGAGAGGAAGTGTTAAAGATCTAGATGTACCTGATACTCCTGACTGAAACCTCGGTTATCATCCAAACTCAGCTGGTGGTAGTGGTCTGGGAATTTGGCTACAGGGATGACTCTGAAACAAAAACAGCAGAAATATTAGATAAATGTTGTTCTTGGTTATTTTTAGGCTGTGATTTCCACTGAGGGTTAAATTTGGAGATAAAGAAGCTCAAACTCACTTCCCCTTTGAATCTGACTTTTTGGATCCAGAGAGTAAAGACTTTTTTCTGCTATGGGAAGAGAAACCAAACATTAATCGATTCAGTTATTAACTTCATAGAGGTAATTAGTGACGGAGGAAACTCACCGGATAATATCTGGCTTTTTGCAGACAAGAAACACAATCACACAGATGAGAACAACAATAAGCAGAACACCGAAGACAGATCCTCCAATGACTCCTGGAAGGATTCATTTAATAGCTTAGAGAAATTATTACTTCATAAAGCAAAACAGAAAATGTGTGTAGTTTTTCTCACCTCTGTTATCAGTTGAACAGAAGAAAGTGAATAGTTCAGATTTTAAGGGATCAGCTTCAGTTTCCAGCTTTGAATTCACAGAGACTTTATACGTTTTGGCAGGTTGAAGTCCGTCCACAATGAGCTGATTCTCATCTGGGTTTAAAGTGACAGTTTTTCCATTTATGGTGAGTTCACCTGTCGTCCAAACACCAACCGGTTGGTCCCATTTAATCAGAGCGCTGTAGCCAGAACCCCAGTAGCTGCAGTGAGCAAATATAGAAGGAGGAACTGGAGGAAAGAACCAGAAAATTAATCAGAAAGAATTAATAATATAAACAGATGTAAGTACTGGTTTGTCAGCTTTATATCATAAACCTCTGATACTAGTATTCCTATCTAGTACTAATCCACTGCATTTTATAACTAAATATTTTCATGTATTAAAGTATTTCTGTGCTCCTTTAATTTACTTATACAAACCATAAAGCAATAATAAAACCCTTAAGTTGGAGTCCACTTTCAGCTTTTATTACAGTTAAATGAATTAATTATTTGCAAAGATATAATTTGGAATCAGCAATTAAATGTGTAAATAAGTAAAATGTCAAACATATTTAGATGAGACATTTGGGGGAAGGATTTAAAAGCTTTGTCTTCTTATTACTCCTGTTTGAACTGAATATGGAAGTTTTATTTTTGTTTTTATGTTTAATTATTATTATGTATATTTTTTGGTTTTCTTATTTTGTTCTCTGACATTTTACTTCTTTGAAATAAAGATTTTGTTTAATTCCAAATATACTCAGTCTAAGACTTATTATAAGTTTAACATAACTTCTGCTATAATATAAAGTTACAATGAGTGTTTTGTACTTACTGATGGGTATGTTGATGCTACACTGTGGATAAAGTTCAGACGATGTTTCATACAGTAGAGAAATCTCATAGGTTGCTCCAGGATGGAGGCCAGAGAATTTCACGTTTTTCCCTCCAGGACTGATGAGAGTTTCAGATCCATTAGAGGCCGTAGCTTTGGAGAACAAGCCTTCAACTGTTCCCTGGATTGATGAGTTGGTGACCCTCCAGGATACGGCACTGCAGTCGATTTCTGGAGTAAAAAGGAACAATTATTTTAACATCTTTGTTTCTTTAATTTAACAGAAAACACAATAATGCAGAACAAGGTTTTATTTGTCGCCCTGTGTACCTACGTGTTAACGTGTGATCGATGTAAGCAGCACTGCTCAGTCCAGAGAACACTGTGGTCACGCTGAACTGATACATCGTCCCAGGCTTCAGGTTGGAGATCAGATATGACACAACGTTTGTCGTCTTCTGCTGGGTTATAGATGCGTTGGTGTCATTAATATTCAGGTTGTGTTTCCAGGCTTGATCTGGATTCTCCCACTGTAAAGTTACTCTGTCCACTAAACGCTCCAAAACACGGACCGACGTCACACTCAGAGGAACTGAGGGAACAAAACAGGACAATCAGGACCTGTCAGGACTTTAAAATAAATTATTTATAACCTCTTGGTATGAAAATGTTCTCATCTTTTTATTTCCAACTAATTTGATGATAAATTTAAAATCTGTTTTGTGTCAGTTGACACAGAGATCCTAAAGAGCCAGTGATTCATTAATTCTTTGTTTCTATGGTGGTCTAAACAAAGTAAATCCAGAGATATTAGTTTCACTGCTTTTGGTTTTTTCAAATGGGACAAAGATCCTGAGATACAGCTGAGAAAATGATCATAATAAGCAATTTAAATCACATTATGCTCAAACTGAAGCTTTATTTGTGGTTATCGTTCATCCAGATGTCAACAGGGAACTTTTTTAGTGTAAAAGCACAAAAATCTGTTTCTGTTTATGAAACCTTCTTCTGTTTTCCTTTTTTAACGAGGCCAATGACTCTTATGGCTAAAATTTTAAAATAAACACACAAAAAGCTTCAAATAACAAACAGAAATATATTTAAATTTGATTTCTAAACAAAACAACAGATTGCAAACTGTTTTATGTCTCTAAATGTGAAATCATCCAGTTGGGGAGGATTCTGAAAAGCTCCAATACAGCTGATCCTGTTATTCATGTTCTTTCTGTAGGACTCAAAGTTGTTCACAGAAAATTTAGTGATTTGTAAATTTATTCATAGAGCAAATCTAAAATACTTTTTAAAATGCAGCTTTGAGATTTGAGACACCTATAGACACAATGCTATCTGTTATATTAGTGGGTGGCGTTTGCAAAGCAGCCAATCACAGAGCCCCATTATATTTATTAGCACTGATTGTCACTGATTGCCGACGTCTGAACAATTGTAACAGGCAGTTATATTTTTAATTTGGGCCTCAAGTAGTGGAGGATTTCAGATATTCCCACATTTAACTGATGATAATTCAACAGTTAAAGACAACTAAAAGATATAATTTTTGAATGATCAAGTGTGCTGGTTTGTTGTCAGTACAGTTTAAATCCAAAGTCACAACATCATCACCAACCTGTAGCAGCAGAGAATGAGAATCCAGAGCTGCTGACTCCATTCAACACAGTGAAAAGAGAGAAACTATATTCTGTCCCAGCAGTCAGACCAGAGACCACATGTTGAATAACTGCATCTGTAGTAGTGATGTTCTCAGTGACAGGAGCTCCATTGACTTCATATTCCAGTCTGTATGTTGAGATGCCATCAACTTTGTCCCACTTCAGAGTTATACTGGTGTCATTCTGTGTCACCACTGAGAAACTGGCTACATTTACTGGAGTTGAAAAACAAAGACAGTGCTTAACAGGTGGCTGCTTCTTTAAATAAATCCAGAAATTTCTTGTAAATGATGAAAAATCACCAACCTGTAGCAGCAGCGAATGAGAAACCAGAGCTGCTGACTCGATTGGCCTCAGTGAAAAGAGAGAAACTATATTCTGTCCCATCAGTCAGACCAGAGACCACATGTTGAACAAATGTTTCTCCAGCAGCATCATTGATGTTCTCAGAGACAGGAGCTCCATTCTCTTCATATTCCAGTCTGTATGTTGAGATGCCATCAACTTTGTTCCACTTCAGAGTTATACTGGTGTCATTCTGGGTCACCACTGAAACATTATTGACATTTTCTGGAGCTACAAAACAAAGACAAAGTTTACTGTTGCATTCAATTATCAATTAGTA